GTCAGTCCCATCAAGGTCACAGATACGCCTTGCTAACGAGTGTAGACAAGCACGATATCTTGGTCCAAGACTTCCTGCTGATTGTCTCCATCCACCTTATATCCGTCAGTGTGCATCACGATGCTGAGTCTCTTAGCTTGGTGGCCAAAATGAAAGAATGATCGATAGAATTCGGTCAGTACTCAGAACCGGACAACATGAAGTTGGCTGCTCTCCCGTGAACAATCAGTGTATTTAGCTCAATCCTACAGAAAGCCAGTCATAGCTCGAACATCTCAGTGGTTCCGCCACTGACTGCAACACTAGGCGATGCTAGTTCAAATCTCAAAAGTAACGTCAGTCCTGTCGAGGTTATAGGCATGTCTTGCTGATGAGTGCCATCAAGGACGAAGAAAGGTCAAGTACAACTAACTAGCAGCGCATCGGAATGTCTTCATCTACTCTACCTCAACACTCCATCATTCAGTGAAGTAATTTCTTCTGAATTTCAGTTGTTTGCTTATACTCAAGAATATAGCTTGTACCAAGACGCGGTATACCCTAAATGCCAAGAATCTTGAAATACCATCCAAAGTTATATTTAGTTTGATTGCTTACAGATAATTTGTTGTAAGTTTGCTTAATTAATGATACATTTTGTGAAAAGTATTCAGTGAGGAGAATAAGACGAATAACAATGATAAGTCCAGATTAAAATATTTCCATAAATATTTCTGCTGTCATAGAAATAGTATCTAAATCTCTAAACTATCTGAAATGCATTTTAGGAACGCGGTTTCTTAAAAAAGAATTATACAGAAGGTATACTTTGCCATTACCAACCAGAGCTTCGTAATCGTCCTGAAAAAGATTTTTCGATGTATTTCATAAAACCTTATGTTCTAGGGTCCAGACTGGATATATTCCGCCTACTTTCAGAGTTCGACACATTCAACATTACACACCTTTAAATAGTGAAGGTAAGAAAATTGAGATCAAATTGATTCTTTCCCCGCCTTAATATAGCGAAAGAGTAAATACATTTATGTATACCATGAGTCATAATTCTGCGATCTAAAATCATCTACGAGCAGCGAGGTTAAATCCGAATGAAATACTTTATTCTGATTGCTTAGACAGTGATTTTCATCCTCAAGTAACAAAGAAGTACTAATAGCTGTTTCGTCCCAGTGTGGGACTCATCAGCAGTATGCACCGACGAACCTGCCAGGGATCGAACTTAGAACTTTCATGGTGAACGCGTTAACCATTCAGCCTTTGTGCCGGTTTGGTTTACAGTTTCCAACTTCTGTCAATTCACGATATAGCGTGACTATCACCCAACGTCTTTGGTTGTCATCCGCTCCGCTTACGACTGGTTGACCCCACAAGTTACGGCTTCTCACTAGAACTTCGTGAGCCCCATACTAGGAGGAAACAGCTGTCCAGTGCTCCCAAGTTTTCAATGGCTCCCCCAACTGGTGTCAATCTGTGACGAATACTACCACTAAATTAAAATCCTTACTCATCTCAAAAATACAACAAAATACAAAGTTTAAAAAACAGTAAACAGGTTCTGAATTATCGCTGTTTTTGCTATTACTTTCAGTGTACACTGCAGTTTCTTGTTGTTAGTATGCTGGATTAAACTGATCAGTTTCAGTTGAAATATGGACTTTATGAAATGATACGGTTTCAATAGATAACCGTTGATACTATTTGTCCAAAAAGTGATCTACTTGACTAAATACTCTAGTACATTACTCGAAATGTTTAAATTTATAAGTTGTGGGTATGAGTCCCGGTAGGAACAGCTTAACTTAATACACTTCACATTCTTTGTAACTTGAATATATTAGCTAATAATTTAACTTTTATAAGAAGATATTGGATTAAAGGAAATGTAAGTTTTCTGGCAGTGGTTCAACTTTTTATCTTTTATTACTCTACATAAACAAAACATTTGAGAGTTGAACTTTATTGTAAAATATTTTTTGTTCTACGCAGAACACGATCAGGATTCATATTCACTAAAAACCATAAGGTCAGTTGAAATGAACTCTTATTGAAAAATTACACCGTTACAGTACTATATAGAGTTAATCACTGAATATGACACGGTTACAGTGAATAAGTACACTAAGATTATGATGATGATGTAAGATTTGAAATAGTTAGTGTATATTATAAATTTTGCAAACGAAGCTATCCAGTGTGACGAGTGATTTCATCAGGAAGGGATTTATGCATTCCAGTAAGAAAATATGAAGATATTCGAGTCATATTATGTATACCAGAGACTTTAACAACATTCGTTGACCTAAGCTGACATAAGAATGTCAACCTATGTTTTTTAGAAATTATTTTATAGAAAAAAACGTTTAATTGATTTATTCTCTCACAAGATAAACTAAGTGATTATATTTGTTTATGAAATTATAGCGAGGCTAACTGTTCCACGTATTTTTGTCCCCTTTGTTAGACTGATAAAGGAGGTAGTATATTGTTGAAAAAGTTATAAAAATCATATAATTAAAATTACTGAAGTGTTCAGTTACCACTTCGAGTAGTATAAAGATATATATATATATATATATATATATATATATATATATATCAAGTTGTTATTCATCGTAGACTGACATCAGTTGGAGGAACAAAGGAAACCTGGGACCTGAAGGTCGCGGGTTCGATCCCTGCTGGTGGGGTCGTGGGTGCGCACTGCTGAGGAGTCCCATACCAGGACGAAACAGCTGTCCAGTGCTCCCAGGTTTCCTTTGTTCCTCCAACTGATGTCAGTCTACGATGAATAACAACTTGAAATAATTCCAAATCTCCACAACTCCCTCAAAATATATATATATATATACGTCTATCTCAGTTAGTCAAATGATAACCAGTATGATTACCCTGTTCCCTAATTCAGTTAGATTTGGATTGAGATGAGAAGTTTTGACTAGACAGTTAGTGTGAATGCAATCAACTGGTAGTAACATGTCACGAATTCACTTGGTAATCTATCAAAACCCAGTATAAATATATATTAATCAATTTGAGTAGTTTCATACTACTGTCTTATTCCAGTAGTATATATTATATTGACATCTTCCTTGAAATGTAAACTACTATCGAAATTTGAATTATAACATGAAGTTGTGAATGCTTTTAGGATAGATTAATTCAATTTATTTACTCAATTAGTTTGTCATTCAGAAAATTGAATACTTACTGAGTTTTGATCTACTAAGGATTATTACTTAAAAGAAAGTATGCTTTAAAATATGCTTGCACTCACACATTTACCTTGATCAATTATTTACTGTGAAAAGAATTCGATTCAGTTGTGCCTAAATCAGTAGAACATTTCACTGGTTTATGTAATAATAGATAATTTCTGCCAAAGATAATAATTATCTTTTACCGGAGGAATTCATTACATTATGACGTATATTAAAATGAGCTAAAATAAATTTCACTAAATTTATGTTCCTAATTAAGTGACTAATTGAACTTAATCAGAAAAATTATTTTATGAATATTTTTTTGAATTTATTTTAACAAACCAGTATGACAAAGATAGAATCAATTCAAGACTTCATGTATACAACTCATAGGGCTGAGAACCATGAGAAGACAGATGTTCAGCTTTCAAGAGGTCTTTCGCAAGGCGCAGATTTTCTACGTAAGTCATTGAAATTTTAACAAGCTTTCTTTGGTTGTATTCGTTTTCATGATCAGAAGTGAAAGCCAGGATGCATGTCTCGTCCTATTTGGGACTCTTCGGCTGAATGTACCTCAACCATAGTGAGTAATGCTGTTACAATGCTTCTAATTTCCCCGTTGCTTATTTCAATGAAAATAATTCGCATTATTAAAAATAAGAATGAAACGGCTGCCTCAAAAGAACAAGCATACAAGAATACAGTTACATTTGCTAAACCTCACGGATTGGAAAGAAGCTAAAGAACAACTATACAAAGTCAACAAACTACCTCAAGATTTTGAGGCAGTAACTGGAACGCCTGTTCCTGGTGTAGGGCAGTATTACCCCAAAAGGTTATTAGCATTTTACATTCATCATTACTTATTCTATGCCTTGGACAAAAATCAAAGGTGTCACAATGTATTTCTAGTCTAATCCTTACCTTAACTCAGAATTTCATCTCACTCAAATAACTTTCTTATCTTTACATTAGTTCGCTTTAAGCATTTGGCCAGTTTAAATGACTATTTTAGTTATAGAATAAGTCTTTAGTTGCACACTATTATTATTATTATTTAGCTACACCTCGGTTTGTACTCAGCATTATAAATAATTATCCAAAATTTGCATGCAGGCAACCATGTAAACATAGATAAAAAGAGCAGGACTTCATGACAAAATCCATGGTTCGTAACTGACCAAACTTAAAAATGCGATACCGAAGAACAGTTGATTCAATGAAGTCTAAATAACTGCAAACTACATCATCGCCATGTGTAATATTAAGCGACTGTTAAAAAATAAATATTTCATCAGTAGACCCCTAGATTGGAAGTTTGTTTCTGATATGACATTCGATTTCCTTTTCATGATAGCCGTCAGCTGCGAAAAAGATGTAGAAGTATTACATATATATACATGTTGACTACCCAAAAAAAGATAGGGAATTATTGGGGAAATAGAATTTTCTTATTATCAAGTCACACTTATATCTACCTCAATTATATTATTATCATAATTTATTATTTTTCCCTTGGGTTCCTAGTGGAACATACGGCTTCAATGGCATGCCTCTATTGCACTCTCTTCTCCGCAGTCTTTTCAACCTGGCTCTGTGACTGTCCACAAGCTTTCATTTCTTCCTCACATCATCTCCTCCGTGTCACCCTCGGCTTGGTCACCCAACTCGTTCCACTCGAGTGCCTGGCCTGATGCGTTATGTCCCCAATCGGTCTTCTCAGTGTATGCCCAACCCAATCCATCTCATTTTCTTCTGCATATTTGTTGGGTAGTAGGTTCCTGATTGGTTCGTTCTCAGAGTTCCTTGTTGCTTATTCTTTCTCGCCACCCATCTGATCTTCAGTATCAAGCATAAACAGATGTCGATGAATGTCTGCAGTTTGTTGGTAGTGATTTTCGTGACGTACCAAGTTTCTCAACCATATGGTAGCACTGACTTTACTGGATTGGTGTTGAAAATCCGGATCTTGTTCTTTGTGCTAGGTGGAGTGCAGTATATATCCACACTGATTTCAGATTAATGAAAGCCTGTCTTGCTTTTCCGATCCTGGTTTTGATATCCTCGTCTCCGCTTGTGCTGCCTGTAGTTAAAACGATGCTGCCTAGGAAGGTGGGTAGGTGAAAGAGACTACTTCCTTTACATTTCTCCCGCAGATGGTCGCTGATATGTACTGTTGATGCTGTTGTTGGTTGGGTATCTTCATCACCTCTATCTTCTCTACTTTCACCTAAAAGGAGTCCGGTTTTCTCTGCCTCTTCTGTTAGCTTGTTAGTTTTCAACCGTATATCTTCGAGTTTGTGCGACATCAGATGCAAGTCATCGGCGAAATCCAAATCTTCTAGGATCTTTATCCCGATCCAGCGTTTCCTCCCTCTTCTCACTCCTCACGATTTGCTGCATGGTCCAGTCGACCATAATCGGGAAGATCATGGGTAATAGTAGGTGGCAGCCTTGTCTTACTCCTGTCTTCACTTCAAAAGCATCACTGAGCTACTCATTGTGGATCACTTGGCATGTGGCATCGTCATATAGCTGTTTGATGAGGTTGATGAAGGTTTGTGGTATTCCGTAGTGTTGAAGCAGTTTCAAAATTACTTCTGGGTTGACGCTGTCGAAGGCCTTCTCAAAGTCGATAAAGTTGAGGTATATCTCTCTCAATACAGCATCTAAATTATAATTTCACTGGTTGTATAAAAATATTCAGTATATAAAGTATAACCGAAAAACCTTAAAGAAAATATGGCTTTGAGTCAAAGAGTAAGCAGAAAAAGTAGGTGACACTCTATCGAATACACGTTTGCAAAAGTACTCCAGAAAGACAGAATAACCTTGCTTGTCACAAACCTTTTACATACATAGGTATTTATTGTGAAAAGATGCAGACTGCTTCTCTTCGGTTCCGAGGACGTATGGTGACTTGGCAGAAAATGGCACAGATATATTCACTCTTTGATGTCTTCTAAAGCTTGAATATTTTCACTAACGCTTATCTTCAAACTGTTTATTCTCTATCGCAACTTTATCCTTTTCTATTCATTGTTCTTTGTATATTACGGTGAAATGTGGCAATTTAAAGCAATGCTGTTGTGTGTAAGGTTCCATGTAAATTTTGCCTGACCGTCAGAGATGTCTATTCATACTAACAGAAGCTTCACGCAAGCTGACTATCAACTGCTGACTTTTAGACTACCAGTTAACTGTATTTTCAAATTCCTAGAAAGATCATGTGTACAGTTTGATTTCAAGTTGAATCGATACAGTCAGATCGTTTCATGTCTGATAAGGCTACATCTTTGGTTTCAATATTACCCGTCCAAAAACCTTTTGGTTGAAGTCACTGACTAGTAACTATACATCCCATCAGATATAAACTTCATTTAAAAATTATGAAATGGGAAAGTGACCATGTGCTGAATACTGTATCGAATTTTCACTAAAGTTGCTTAGATTCTGATCATAACTATTTTTACACTAACCCAAATTTTCATTCACATGAGAGATAAGTTTCCACGTCATCGATTAAAGTAAGGCTTAAATCTTCAGCTTCAGAATAGGAAGTTTTAAGTAGATTACATGAAAGCTACTGACAATAGTTTAACAGTAACTTAGGATTCTCTTCAACTTCACATATATTCCTTGCATACATAGACGAGTTTATCAGTGAGAGCCATCGTCAATAATCAAAATAGGAATCTGTATATTATGATTACATTAAAAAAAAACCTTGTTTACCTCCAAATGAAAAATATACAATAATAGAAATACCTCCGATCATATGAAGGGATCATTGTTTCTTCGGTAAAATTATTCTAGAGGAAGTAATACTATTCTACCTATTTCTAAACGTGACAAACCTCTTTCCTTACAAACAAACGCACACACGAAATAAGTAATGATTACACTTCATGAAAATATTACAGAAACATGTTAAAAATTCCTGATAAATTTTCTCAGTTTAAAACTTTAAATTGCCATAAAACATACATTCAAAAATTATTATCATTATTATATTCACATGTAATAATTCATGTGAAAATTAAGTTTGATAAAAATCTTCAGCATAGAAATTTACTTCAAGTTAGAGTAAAATATATGCAAAACACTACTACTAATCACGGTAATGATTTCAAAAATAATAATCATTTCTAAAATTATTCCCGCTTTAATTAGACGCCAGGTAAATGAGTGAATGAACTTCTTGTAATGATCGTTGGATCAAATACACTGGTCAGAACAGTCGACTAGGCTAAGTAAGACTGTTCATACAAAATGCTTAACCTAATCAACATTACTGTACACCAGAAAGTAAAATAATGAGCCTAGAGCTTGGTTATCGGTAAACATACAATCATATACAATTTCAGAATAATAATTAAACTGATTGGGGGAAGGAAGAGACCGATAACCCAATATTTCTTCATCGAAACGATTAACATATCACGTGTACCAGATATATAAAAAAGATTCTGCTAGTTGTGTTACAAAGAAGTTCTCCATTGTTTTGATAATAAATATTCAGGCAATATCAAGGCGTGTGCTCATATATCAATAGAGGTCAAACAATTCGATCCAGTAAAACAAAGGAGGACTACAAGCATATCAACGAATAGTAATAACTGATACCCACTCTACAAGGGACGGCTAGCATGCCTCAGTGGCCTAGTGGATAATGCTGTCGCGTGTGAAGCGGTGGGGACGAGGTTCGAGTCTCCTCCAAAGGGAGGAGGGGGGTGTATGCAGCTGACGCGTTCCAAATGTGACGAAACTTGCGTCTTGGATCCCTCTTCTAGCCACAACCAAGTAGATTAAATTAATCAATTGTATTACTAGGTTAATATCTCAGTTGTAATCCTCTGAACTTGTTCATACAAAATAGTTGAATTGGTTAATTTCCTTGTGTATGTTATTGCTTTAAACTCCTAGTGAACTCATTTGTCGAAGTAAAAGGATCCATAAGTTTTCTAGATTGTTAAGCATGTATCCAAAGAAAAGGATTACTCAATCAACAGTTTAATGGCCGAAATGAGTGATGATATAATACTAATAATAATAGTAGTTATAATGATAATAATAATAGTGGCTTTATTCTGACTGCTATTTCGAAAATACTTTACAGAGTTTTCAGTATGCCATATAGCATCAATTGGACAGAAACAGTGTACATGTATACATACCAAAATGAAATCAGTATAGATTCTATGTATAAAGGATAAGAATATTCACTCTATCTACAACTTTCTTCAAAATGTACAATCAATTTAGGTAGACAATCACATTAGTAATTATATTCATAATACATAAATGGTAACATGCTCATCTTCAGTTAGTTCGCCTTCAAAGACAGAAGTTGATTAGTCAGTTCATTTCAGTTACTTTCTTCATCACAAGCAGACGAGCGAAATACGGTATTGTAGGGTTTTTATGTTTTGTAGTACGTGCATAAAGTCTTATGTACTTCCTCCTCATCTTTTAGATGACCGACACTCAGAGAGCTTTGAGTGAAGAGGATCCTGGTCATCTGATAAATCAACTGCTGTCAGCTGTTTACATGAGTTAATACGTTTGTCCACAGTTGTTTTAACTCGAAGGTTTAGAGGTATAACACTAACTAGTTCTGCTGACAGTCTTCAAAGTTCTGCGCACTACAGCATGGTCTTCTTTCAGTAACCATGGGAAGAATAAAGGAGAACAATAGAGGAGAACAGGCAAAATGCAGGAGTTTATAAAACACAAGATAAGAGGCTGGGTTATACCAGATACTCTTAGCCTCCTAAAATACAAAATGAGGCGATAAATTCTTTTGGAAGTTAGTAAACTATGAGAGGATCAGGAAGGATCCGAAGTAAAACACACACTGAGATAAATCACCCTTGTAACATTCTTGAACACATAACTATCCATAGAACGGAAATCATGAGAACTAGTCAGTTTACATGAATTATGTTCACATCTAAAACTAAAGTTTAGGGTCCGATAATTTGAAGAATTACGCATAAGACCATTCTCTGAGGACCATCTTCTAACAGTAAAAAGGAAATCATTCAGTTGGGAGCAATCTGTTGAAGAGGAAACAGGTGTGGAAACTGTTAGACCATGAACATATTTAATGAAATTGATACCGGCTGAAGATTGTAGGTCAGGCAGAAAGAATGAGAAAATCCATGGGGAAGGACAGCTTCTTGGGGAGCTCCAGTCACAGTAAATAATGTGGTGTAGCGCTTCCTTCTATGGACCGTATGCTGCTTTTTTCAGAGAAATAGGAATACAGCCAGCTGATTATTCAGGACTCAGTATTTGTCCCGGTCGGCTTATCCATCAAAAGAGGTCTTAGCACAGAATCAAATGTCGAAGTATAGTCTAAAAAGGCACACCTGATGTACCTGGCATTTTCATCAAGACTATAAGCAATGTCGTGATATAAAGGTGTGGTGACATCCAAAGTGTTTCTCCTACTTTTATATGCGAATTGATTAGGGTCCCTGAAAGCCTTCAGTGAGGGTTCAAGCCCACGTAATATTAGCTTCCTCACTATGTTTAAGAACGGAGAGGTAACTTTAGTAGCACGGAATTTTGTACATGCACCTAGAGTCCTAGACTTAAGTACGAGGACTATGTTAACATCTTTTCAGGCAGCTATAGAACTACATAAAATGTGTCTCAATGTTGTGGAGTTAACCTGTGATATTTGTGGCTGTATTACACCATTCTAAGAAGAGTCAAGAGTTCCAACCTCTCTATTCCATTAATTTCTGGCATCACTCAAAGTCTCATAGAACTTGTTAGTGCTTTATATGCTTCAAAGTCGATCTGTATAGTCCGACTAACCGAGACAGCTCTTTTCACTATACAATGTGAATACTGAGTTCAATGTTTCACACAAAAATGCACTTCAAAGAAACTCTAGAAAAGTCAAGGTCGTTTATAAGTACACAAGCGAATCAAACGACATTATTTATTTTAGCATCATGACCAAGCATTCCAGAGTTTTGACAGTTTTTCTGTTTTCTAGAATTGAGTAGCCAATAAATGGGAGTCCGAATACTGAAGTACTAGTATTCAATACTTCAATATATATATATATATATATATATATATGTCATGACATCTCATAAGGTACATCATGGTGTACTAAAATACTTAACTGTAAACTGTTTACCAGAATAGATAATCATATTAGACTGACACATCTACTATTTGAAGTTATATTTTAACCAAAAGTACTGAGGAAAAAAGACAGTAGCGTGAAATTCATACTCGTAGCCGTTCTTTAGTGAGTATATGGCGGGAATGACAGAAAATACTATATTAATTTCTGACCAAATATCAAAATACACTGGATGACAGAAAGTAAGTTACATAATACAGACAAATATGTAGAATTATGACGTAAACAGAAAACTGCTAGCGAAAGTGCAATTACACCACCAAGAAAATATTTAGGCTGCCAACACCACAGTGGTGATCATATCAGGT